GAGAAAAGCAGAGAGCAGCCATTAAGAACTGACTGAGTCTGCGGCACATAGGGGATTTGGGTCTGTTGAAACTCAATTTAAAACAATAATTTGTTTTTGAAGCCTCTGGAATGTTGTCAAGATCGTGCTTTTATTATATAAGAATTGGTTATTGGTTTCATCACCTTATAATGTTTGTGCTGACTTTAAATGATTCAAAGGATGTGCAGCAAAGTGGTTTGATTTAATATTTGATACCCACTCGAAAGTGTTTTTCCGAAATGAAAATAGGCTCTAATGTTTCTTTTTTACAGTAATGTTTTTCAAATATCTTCGATGATGTAGAAAAGCAAATCAAGCTCCTCTGAGAGTTCACAATACGTTTATTACCACATACTGTATCTCTGTTTAGTAGTTGTTTTAAGCCCCAGGACCATGAAAATATGAATTTTCCAGTTTGAAGCCTTTATTTCAAATATGTTGAATGCATAAAAAATTTTACTTTTTTTTGCCAAGGGAAATATTGTATGATGCACCTTGAGAAGAAAAATGTTTTTTAAAGTTTTTAAGCTACCATAATGATTCAGTTAACATTCATAAATTGCTATTCATTTGGGATGCAAAACTGTAGATATTGTTCTTTTTTTGGTTATGACCCTCTTTAATGTTACAGCCAGATGTGCTGGAGCAGATCCATAGTTTAAGAGAGCTGTGGTTGGACAACAATTCATTACAAACCATACCAGGGGTAAGCAATTTCAAAAATATATTAGAATTCCAGAGTTAGCATCTATTGCATGTACTAAATGTCAGCCCTGTTATAGATTTCATAAATTTAAAATACTTTTAAAGCTTTCATTTATGAAGCATTTTGTCATTATGTACACACTCCCATATCATTCCGAATGATGAGAACATCTTTGGGGGAACTATTGGAATTTGACAACATGACATTTTAGTACTCTAGTACGAGGCTATAATATATGTACTGTATAAAGCATAATATATGTACTGTATAAAGCATAATATATGATTTCTTTCATTTATCTCCTTGTCATCTTCTTGAAGTTTGTTGGGAAACTGAGGCAGCTGCGATATTTCGACTTGGCCAAGAACAGGATTGAGAGTCTAGATGCAGATATCTCTGGCTGTGAGTCCTTAGAGGATCTCCTCCTCTCCTCCAACATGCTGCAACAGTTACCTGATTCAATAGGTGAAGTTCCACTGATTATTTTTGTTGAAATATTTGGGTTTTTAGTTTTCAGTATAAGAAATGCTGTGTCTTTACAATGTAAAAACCTCTTTCACAGGAAAGTTGAAAAAATTGACAACATTAAAAGTTGATGACAACCAGCTCACCTCACTGCCTAACACCATTGGAAGGTTAGTAACTCACTTATGACTCATTCAGCTGTGTAAAGGAAAAATGACAAAGGCAGAAAATACCGTCTTAGATCGTAATCCCTGAACATTCCTCTAATGAACAGTTTTTTTTTTCAAGTTTATGGAATTTTGTTGTGGTTTATAACCATATAATAGGCCTGATGCTCAGGGTGGTCAGTACAGCCTTTAATGACTTGAACCATTGTAATTATTTATATACAGTTTTTTTATGATGACATTCAATGACATTGCACTGTAGCTTGTACTCTCTGTATTGGATTTTTCACTGAATTGCCATCTGGGGCACAACATAACAATTCTGCTGTCATTCTGGCAGTTTTTCTCACCCCAGCATGAGAAAATGCTAAAATGCTGACTGTCAACTTCAATGTGACTCTCAGCAATGTTAGCAATGTCTTTCCATCTTTATTACCTATATTAGAGAGAAACAATGTGTGCAGTCAATAGGAAAAAACATGAGATTCTGGAATTAAAGTGTACAATTAATAAAAAATCCTAAAAAGTAATAATTGGATCATAGTATATTGTTTATCCAAAATGTACATTGATATTTGGTACCTTTTAGCTATACCTAAATTAACAGTTTAATCTTTTTTTTT